TTGCTGCAAAAGTGTTGGATTATTGAATCAATAATGTTACATGCCCCGGTGATTATCGTGGCGGTCGCAGTACTCTTGGGATTGCAAATCTGCTGCACCCCAATTTCACTACTTCTGATCCCATAATCATATCGTTTTCTCCTTCTCTTTCTTTCTGTCGTCTTTCTCTTTGCTTTTCTTTTTCCATTAAGCACTGCGACCGCCATACTGACAAGGTCCTGTCGTGCGGTGTTGAGTTAAGGCGTATATGACTCCTAATGGACCGAAAAGTCGTGCTTCACTCTTACCTTATTCTTTTTCGAAACGTCTTATCTCACTCTTATCTTCATTTCTCATGCTGTTCTTTCATGCTATAATCCAATGCGCGTTCGCCATTTTGGCTTCCGAGGTCAACCTGGTTGCTACAGTCAGCTTAGTCAAATTCAGGGGAAGAATAATAGAAAACAGGATGGTCTGGAATTAGGGCAAAATTAACCTTGAAATTAAGTAAATTTTGCTTGTCATATCGTTTCCCCTTCTCTTTTTTCCTGTCGTCTTTCTCTTTGCTTTTCCATTAAGCACTGCCACCGTCATACTGACAAGGTCCTGTCGCGCGGTGTTGAGTTAAGGCGTATATGACTTAATGGACCGAAACGTCTTATCTCACCCTTACCTTCTTTCTCTCATACTGTTCTTTCATGCTGTAATCTGTCGCGCTTGCGCCATTTTGGCTTCCAAGATCAACCTGGTTGCTACAGTCGGCTTAGTCAAAGTCGGGGAAAGAATAATAGACAACGGATACCATCCAAGATGGTCCAGATTTAGGGCGAAATTAACCTTGAAATTAAGTAAATTTTACTTTCATTTTTCTCCTGTAACATCAGTTTTGCTCCATTAAATTTGCTTTTTTCAGACCTCAGGAAGGGGTACTTGACGCAACATTTACTGGACTCAGTGTGGATAAAAAAATGTCTCTGATAAATCAAGTTTTGGATAAACAGCCTAAAAATGACCAACCATGGGACGACGCATGCTCGGGCTGGATTGACGCTGCTAATAAATTGGATTCTTTCAAGGTATCTTTTGCTTTTTTTAGGTTTTTTAACAAGGTTTTTACTTTTCCTAAAGAATTTTTTTCTAATGTTTTATCGATTTTTTTGCGAAAAAATAGGCGCACGCCGCGTTCAGTACCACTGTTTTTGAAACTAACATAATATGTGGATGCGAGGATGTAATCACCGACAAAAGCAGAAGAGCGAACGCTGTGC